GAAAATGATATGACAGCTCTTAAATAACCTATGTGTGGGGGCAAATGTAAAAGCTGGGAGCCATGTTATAGGTTTTGGCCATAATCAGATAAGAAATGATGACAAATGACGACAAAAACTGTACAGCAAAGCACGGACATGCAGAAAACGTCAACACTTTTCTAGTAAAAGCAGGTTAAAAAAAAGGGTATCCATCATTCCATTCCTATTTAATGTTATCATAGAGATTATAGCCAGTACATACTAAAAAAAAAAAGAAAGAAGGTAAAGAAGTAAGAATGTTAAGAACAAAAAACACCCCAATCTATACTTTCAGGTTAAATAACTGTATATGTAGAACTCCCAAGGATAGTACAGATAATTGTAGTGCTGAGAGTTTTCAGATTAAAAAATAAATACCAAAGTAAGGATTATTTTAAATATTTCATTTATATACACTAGCAACAAGCAGTTGAGAAATTAATTTTAAAAAGATTCATATATTTTTAGTCAGGATAAAACATATCCAACAGGAGTATAATTAATAACAGATCCTAATGAAAAAATTATAAAACATTATTAAATGACACACAAATAGACTGAAATAAGTGAAAACATAGTGCACACTCAGACAACTGTTCTCCATAAACAGATCATTTTCAATGCACTTCCATAGAATTCCAATTTTATTTTTTTTGAACTTCACCAAAATTCTTTAAAAACGTATATGTAACTGTAAATGTCCAAAATACCTAAGATATTCTAAAGAATAAGGCCTGGGCTTCTCCACATATAACATACATATAACTGTATTCACATATATTTTACAAAGATAGCTATATTAAACACAATAATATCGTTATAAAAATACATAATAGACCGACAAAAATAAACATCCCAGAAAAGGCTCACCAATACCTATAGAAAGTTGACACAGTAAGCTCTGCAGGGCAGTGGTAGAAGGCACTCACAATTTAATATGTGGGGGATAATCAACTAATTGGAGTCCTCGGGTTGTGTAAAAGATTAAGTGCTCAGCTACTGTGCAAAAGGCTGGAGGTTGAAAGAAAAGTCTGGTGGTCTACTTTCCAAAAATCAGTCATTGAAAATCCTATAGAGTGCAGTTCTACTCTGAAACACATGGGGTCTCCATGAGTTAGAATCAAGTAGAAGGAAAATGTTTGTTGTTTATCAAATAATTATCTAATTGGAATAGTCTATTCTTATGCATTCCATACGCAAAAATCAATTCCATGTAGATCAGCTTTAATTATGAGAATGGAAAATTGTAACACTTTCAGAAGTTATAAACAAGTGATCTTACAACACAGAATAAAGAAAAAAGTCTTAAATAAGAACATCAAGACAAAAGGGAAAAGACTGACAAACTCAACTATATTAAAATTCACAGCAATTCATCAAAGGGCAGGAAAAATGAGTGAGAAGGTAAGTTACATACTAGGGGAAAACTTCCAAAGCTTATTAAAAAAAAAACCCGAATCCATTGCTGTTGAGTCGATTCCGACTCACAGCGACTCTATAGGACAGAGTAGAACTGCCTCATAGAGTTTCTAAGAAGGGGTTGGTGGACGCGAACTGTTAAGAGCAGCAGAGCTCTTAACCACCGGGTCACCCTAAAAAGTAATGAGATATAAGTTAACAGCGGGAGATATGCAGTCTTCGGTAGTGAAGTAGTGTAAAGTACCTAAACAATAAAATCAAGGTAAGGTACCACTTTATACACTGATTATATGAGCAAAAATTACTTCATTAGATAAAAGAAACAAAGGAAAAAACCACTGCCGTCGAGTCGATTCCGACTCATAGCAACCCTACAGGACAGAGTAGAATTGTCACATAGGGTTTTGAAGGAGCGCTGGTAGATCCAAGCTGCCGACCTGATGGTTACCGTAGAGCTCTTAACCACTGCGCCCCCAGGGCTCCAATAAGCAGATGCGAAAAATAAGATATATATGCATATTTTGTGGCAGGGAAAATTTGCAAAACACATCATCTCTTTTAGTAAATTTGAACTTCGCTATGATGTGCAACTCAGAGATTTTCCCTCACTAGAGAATGACAGTGCAAGAGCACTTGAGAGTTTGGAAAGAGAATGAAGAGAATATGAGCAGCAATATTCACAAGAGCAAGGGTTACACCTGAACCACACAAGTCTTGTAAGCTCTACAACAGGCAGGTAAATTCTGGCTCATTCATACAATGGTAGCCTGCATACATAGCAAGATGAGTAGACTAGACCAACAGACACCAGGATGTATTAAACTCAAAAGCATTCTGACGAAAACAAGTCATAGAAGAACCCAGACACAGGTAAAATTAACTTTACAGAAAGCTCAGAAGAGGTAAAACTAAACAACACAGACATTACAGATTAAGACTTCAGTGTCCTATTAGCAATACTTCTTAGATGTAAGCAAACACCCCAAGGGACTGGTTTCCTGGGTTTGAACGATTAGGACCATAGTGCTGTGGGACATCTTGGTCAACTGGCATAATATAGTTCATAAAGTTTATGTTCTATATCTTAGTTTGGTGAGAAGTGACTGGGGTCTTAAAAGCTCCTGAGCCACCATCTAACACACAACTATTGTTCTCTATTCCTCTCCAGCAAGAGAAAAGGAAACCAAAGATTCAAATAAGAAATTAGTCTACAGGACAGTCTACATGAACCACAGCCTCATTTACCCTGAGACCAGAAAAACTAGATGAGATAGTACTTTAGCTACCACTACCGACCATTCTAATCAGCGTTACAATCCATAGACCCTGATAAAATGGAAGAAAAATGTGGAACAGAATCTCAAATTCCTAAAAAAAAAACCCAACTAAACAACAACAAAAATAAAACAGCCTTACTGGACAGGCTGAGACTGGATGATTCCCCAAGAATGTTGCCCTGAGATATTCTTTCAACCTTAAATCGAAACCAGTCCGAGGTCACCTTTTAGCTACATAACATATTGGCTCACAGATAAAGAGTATCACCTTTGAGTACTGTGCTCCATTAAAAATACCAGCTATATGAGACCAAGTGGTCAACAATTATTTTAAAGCAAAGATAAGATTGTAAGGGGGCAGGGAAAATAGACTGATGGGAAGGGAACAACCAGAACAGAAATACTCAGAATGTTCACAAATTGTGAAGAAGGTAACCAATGTCACTGAACAATTTGCATAGAAATTGTTCAATGGGAACCTAAATTGCTGTGTAAACGTTCACTGAAAAAAAAAATGTTATTAAAAAAAAAAAGACTTGGGCAACGAAGTTATAATAATAGAAATAACAATTGTAATAATAATAAACTTCTCAAATGTAAATAGCAATAATTTCCGGGCAGGAGGCAGATGACATCAGGGTGAGACACACTGGAAGGCCATAAAAACTGAGAGGTCTATTTATTATCAAGCATTTAGATTCCTATTATTTAAAGTATACAACCAATAGTTTATGCACTCCTAGTTGATGATATAGTTGACAATAACAGCTTAAAACAATGGTTTCAAACATGAAAGAAATATAACTGTCATATAATTTCACATAGTCATGTGAAAACTCCTTCCTTTTAACTTGTCTTAGTTCAGAAGCGCTTGTATGTCTCAACGTTTGATACCTGGATCTTAGAAATTTACATTTATATTCCCTAGAGTAAGCTTTGTAAAACAGTGGACACAAGTGTCCATTCGTGGCGGTATGGTCAAAACAATAAACAAAGATCAACCATCACAATATTACAAGACGTTAGATTTAAGTTCTCTATTGTTATAAAAATTTTAGGGAAATGTGTTAATTAAAAAGCAAGTGTAAATTCCAACCTACCTTTTGTGTAACAAAGTAGGAGAAATAACGTGTTTTACTTTTGAATTTTTACTTACATCACTTAAAATAGGCATGTCTCAGTGTTTGAGAAGTTTATATCCATTAAACTGAAAATTCTCAGTAGAAACATAAACTGATCTAGAAATTTGCTTCCAATGGAAACTGTAAACCTAAGAAGTTAAATACACCATCTCATCTGTTGAGCTTGCCTAGCAAAAAAGAACACTTTTATTTTAGATTTCCATTCGAGACTATGGAAACCCTGGTGGCGTAGTGGTTAAGAGTTATGGCTGCTAACCAAAAGGCTGGCAGTTCGAATCCACCAGGCGCTCCTTGGAAACCATATGGGGCAGTTCTACTCTGTACTATAGGATCGCTATGACTTGGAATCGACAGCAACAGGTCTGGTTTTGGTTATCTCAAACTGTGGAGAGCTGTTGAAAATTACAGGGACTCACTACCAGCTCTAGGCAGAGACGGGTGGGAGGACAAAGACACAAACTGGGGAAACATGCTTCCCACACACCGGAAAGCCTCAAAGAGCATCCCTCGAAGAAGGATGGATCTGGAGACCCCACACATGATCCAGCTGGACTCACTGTCCTTTGACTCATTTCACTGGTGAGTTCATGACAGGACCAAACCCCACCCAGGACCCCACTAACAGTCAGGGCCTTTTGCTACGAACTCTCTCCCCAGTTTTTCACCACATTACACACTGAGAGGTGGAGCTGCAGTTACAGAACTACACAGAAAAGGCTCCAGTGTCTCGGGGAAGCCAAGAAAACTGTGTGCAGAGGGACAAGGATGGCTCTGGAGGATCTGGGGCTCGGTCTCCTCAGCCAGAGCTGCTCCGTCTTCAGACTCTGGTCAGCAGATTTGGTCATTCAACACAGAGAACCAAGGCCCAGGACGGGGTTGTTAACGCCCCATGATGCGTTAGAGTCACAGAAAGAAGCTGGCCCCAGGTATCCAAGGCTTCAAAATCCACGTGTGTAGAGGAAGGACTCAGTGACAGCAGAGCAGGGCACCTGGATGCCTCTTAGGGCTCAGTTCCATGGTCTCCTTAGCCACCTATTTACCTGACTGAGGAACCTCAAGGCCTAAGCACACACTACCCCAACAATTCATATCCGGCCTCACCCCTTAGGGTAACAGTACCCCAGTTCTCTGTAGTACGCACCATTTCCTGGCTCCAGCTTCTAGAAGTCTAAGTGAATCTGCTCTCTAAGCCCAAGAAGCCACTTCAGAAAGACGGATGACAGGTGAAGCAGTCACTAGGCAGTTTGGAGGCAGATGAATGATGTTTGGTCCACACACCAGTCACAGCAATTAAAATCCTTACTTGTGATTGCTTGGATGTGCAAGTTTGCTCTCCATCCCCAGCTACCTAGGTTGGACTAACTCTCCCAGGGCCACACCTGGACCTGAAATGGAAGAAGGAGACAGTGGTGAGTAACGAGGAAGTGACAGGTTCTTGGTCTTCCGCTCTTCCCTGGACAGCGCTTCCCCCCAGGCTCAAGGCCATGCTCCACTCTGAGGGCATCTGTACTTAAGGCAGATCCTGCTCCAGCCTTCCAGAGCACACACTTGCATTCTTCATGCAGCTCCACAGGCCTCTTCCTCTGTCCACAATGTCACAGAAGGAGGGGCTTCCTCATCTCAGAGCACGAGATGTACCCAGGCCTGCCCAGGCTGGAACACGTGAACCTGGAGTCCTCCAGGGTGTCGGGAGTTCAAAGCTTAGGTTGAGGGTTCACCTATGAAGTTAAGGGTTCATCTTTGTAGAACCTAAACACCTTTATTAGATATCAACATTAGTGAACTTTCAGGAGAATGTATTTTTTTAATTCAAGCCAATGAACTCATCATGGGTCACTGATCTGTAATTATGGGTGGCTGAAACTCTTCCGTTGTGCTTTTTTTAAAACTTTGATTACATTTATACCATGGTAATATGTGACCAGTATTTTTCCTGTTGTTTTTCCAACTAACATTTATTTCTTCCCCTTGAATTTTTAATTTTTTTTTCCTTCACTATCCATGAAACCACTCGTCTTTCCAGAAATCTGGAAACATTCTCTTTCAACCTTACAATAATCAATCAACCAATAAATCAGAAAATCACTAAGTTTTCTCTAAGGGGCAGTCCCCCACATCCATTCCCATTTCTTTCCTCCCCTATACCTCACCCAGCTGACACCTACTGTCTTATTTCTTGGTCTCTGTGTCAATGTTTTCTCCCTTTCTTCTCTCTTGTATGATCTGTATACCAATGACTGCTCTTTAAGCATTACCCACCCTGTTATCAATTTCTCTAACAGCATTCTCTGGTTTTAACTCACATTCTATTTCTATAATAGTTATTTTCAGCATAAACTGGGAGCTTGTTTGTTATAGAGAATCTCAAGCCCATATCAAGCTAAAAATCCACATTTTCACAAGACCCCTGTGGTATCCACATCCAAATACTCACTGCTCTGGAGCCTGTAACTGAAGGAAGGAACATTCTATCAGGGATGGCCTAATCCAGCCTGCTCACCAGGCCTGTCTGCACTCCCCACCCCTTGGCTTGCTTCAGTGGTCCAGCTAGGCCCTACTCGCCTCTCCCAGCCTCCGGCCTGTGCGAGGCTTATTACTTAAGGTAGATGCCACCCCAATGACCCCAGAAAACCAAACCAAGTATGAGTTTTATCATTTTATCTCTTCCTATAACAAGAAGGCCAGAGGTTACAGTGCAGGATGTGACTGGCGCTCTGTGAAGTAACCAGTGACCCAGGCTCCTCCTTCGTGCCTGCTCTGCCTACATCACCACACCCCCGCATTCTCACTGTGGCAGCTGGCTGCTGTAGGAGAAAGAGGAAGACTGAAGGATGAGGGCAAAGCCTATTTTCTCTTTCTTAGGTTTGCATTGTTTACACGGGAAAGGATGACACCCAGTGACTTTGTCTATGTTATTGTTATGTGTCAAACTGTTACCCTTATGATAATGGAGAAGCCCTGATGGTTAAAGCGCTCGGCTGCTAATCAAAAAGTCAGTGGTTCCCACCCACCAGCCGCTCTGTGGGAGAAAGATGTGGCAGTTTGCTTCCATAAAGATTTACAGCCTTGGAAACCCTATGGGGCAGTTCTACTCTGTCATACAGGGTCGCTATGACTTGGAATCGACTCCACGGCAGTGGGAGTATGATGGAAAATGGGGCCAGTGATTGTTCAGAGGTAGAATTTACGCCCCTCACACGGAAAACCCGGCTTCAATTCTAGACCAATACACCTCATGTGCAGCCACCACTCATCTGTGAGTGGGGACTTGCATGTTCCTATGACGCTGAACAGGTTTCAGGGGAGCCTCCAGTCTAACACAAACTAGGAAGAAAGGCCTAGTGATTTACTTAAAAAAATTTTTAAAATAGTCAAGAGACTTAAATAGACATTTCTCCAGAGAAGATAACCAAACGTCCAAAAAGTATATGAAAAGATGCTCAGGGTCATCTAGGCACTATGGAAATGAAAATCAAAACCACATGAGATACCACTTCACACCCACTAGGATGGGAACATCAGAGACTGGAAAAGAACAAGTGTTGGTGGGGATGCAGAGAAACTGGAACCCTCACGCACTGTGGGTGAGAATGTAAAATAGCACAACCACTGTGGAAAACACCTGGCAGCTCCTCAAAAAGTTAAACATTGAATTACGATATGACCCAGACACTCTACTCCAAAATTGGCAGTCTGAACCCAATCAAAGGATGTGAAAGTAGGGATTCAAAAAGGTACTTCTATACCCAACGTTCACTACATTGTTCACAATAGTCAAAAGGTGGTAACAACTGAAGTGTCCATCAACAGATGAATGGATTAAAAAAAACACGTAACATGAAAGAGAAATTTTGTTCATGCTTAGGAACCTGAACCATGAAAACATTATGCTAAGTGAAATCAGTGAGACACAACAGGACAAACATTGTATAATATAACTTACGTGAAATAAGTAAGAAGAGGCAAAAGCATAGAGACCGAAGTCTGTTAGTGGCTACCAGGGACTCAGGGAGGAGGGTATTAAGAGTTATTGCTTAAGGAGTGCTGACTTTATGTTTGAAATGATGAGAAACTTTTGGAATTAGATGGTGGAGATGGTTGCACATCATTAATATATTTAATATCACTGAACTGTAGATTTAAAAGAGATTAAAATGGCAAAATTTTAGTCACATATATTTTACCACAATATTTTTGTTTTTTTCTAAAGGACCCACTGCCCTCTTCTAAATGCTCAGGAATCATATCAAAGATGCAGACCACTAAGCACTCTTCTATGAGCTACTAAATCAAAAGCACAGGGGAGTAACCAGGACACTGGATGATTGAAATGCTGGCCACAGGTTTTATGCATACTCAAGTTCTGGAACCACCATCAACTCAGGGCAGACCATCTGAAGAAAGAGGAACGTCAAAGTCCAAATGCTACATTATGAAGCTCTTCAGCTCTGAATCAAGGAAGCTCAACCATTCCGATAAAGAAAGGAAGAGAAACTCAGTCTAGAAAGGCAGGGCCTCTCAAGAGACTCACCATGGAAAATGCAAAGCCATCCCAGGGCAGGTCCTGACTTCTACCTCACCCAGGCAGACCAGGTTCCTGTAGCTCATCAACATTATGTCCCTTTACAAAGCCCTCACAGCCAGGACACAAGCACACACACTCCTTCTGGGGACAAATCCTTGTATATCAATGGTAGCTAACATGAAATATACATTTCTCCAAGGGTCCACAGTGCGGTGGGGGTTGTTCTTATTTTCACATAATATGAGGGGAGACAAAAGGTATATGAATCAGTTTAGATTGAGGTAAGGGTATGGCTGGATCCCTGTAAGATAATTTTCAGCAAGTTATACATCCCTAATTTTAATCTATGATTAAAGCATAAGGACCAAAGTTTATTAGTTGCTACCAAGGACTCAAGGGAGGAGAGAATGGGGAGTTATTGCTTAAGGGGTACGGAGAATATGAGATCCACTGCGGATTTTATATTTCTGTGGATGATAAAAGAAATATTCAAATGAAAAAACAATTCAACAAGTGGTTTTCTTTAACCAAGTGATAAATATTATGTTCTACCCACCAAGTGACATATACTCTTTCAGATGAACCAGAGAAACAATCCATCCAATTAAGGATGACAGAGAGTCAATAAGAGGCTTTAAAGAAATGTTAGGATCTAACCTTGTGATCCTAACAGAAAGGATCTGTTCTCACCAGAGAGAGAAACAAAACTATGTCACAGACTCTAACTTGTCTTGGGTCAAACATCCTAATAAATGGCAGAATGTCGGTGGTTGGGTTCTAGAATTGAACCCAAAGAATCAAAAAGACAAGTAAAATAGACACCACTGAAAGGACATTGGTTGAGGGTTTCCTAACTGAGAAAACTTGAAACAAGTTAAAAACCAACAAGGAATTAGTTAAAAGGTCATTACGTAGGTGCACACATACGCATATACATAAAATTAATTACTATTTTTACTACTGTTAACATAACGATGTTGCTATTGTTAGGTGCAGTCCAGTTGATTCTCACTCCTAGCAACCCCATATGACAGAGTAGAACTGCCCCGTGAGGTTTTCTATGCTGTAATCTTTAGGGAAGCAGATCGCCAGGTTTTTCTCCCACAGAGCAGTTAGATGAGTTAAACCGCCAACTTTTCGGTTAGCAGCTGAGCTCTTAACCATCTCATGACCAGGGCTCCTTATTAACATGATAGTGTAAAAATATTTAAGGCCATGGGAAAAATAAGTAATATTAATTCATGAAATGATAAAATGCCTTTTAAAAAGAAACCTACAGCGCACACAAACCAACTGTACAGTTAACCAGACTGAGAGCAGCTGTCTTTAAATGATGGATTTTCTGGCTGGATTTTCATTATCGTTTTCTGTTCATGGTTTTGAGTATTTTAGTACGATGGACATATTTAAATTTTACTTCTGTAGTAAAGAATTAGATCTCACATAAACACAGCTCTAGGGCAGCTGGGTGGGACAAAGTTAGGTGCTCAACTACTAGCCAGAAGGTTGTCGGTTTGAAGTCATCCAGAGGCGCCACAGAAGACAGGCCTGGTGATCTGCTTCTGAAAGGTCACAGCCTTGAACACCCTATGAAGCAGTTCTAGTCTACACACATGGGGTCACCATGAGGTAGAATGGACTCAATGGCAACTAACAACAATCCCAAAGAGAGTCCTGGCTCCTGGGAGGGAACCTCTAAACCACTGGAATTTCCAGAGTGATAGCACTGCCTCTGTGATTCGTGCTGGGCTCCTTGGTCCTCACCTGATAGTTTATACTAAAGAGGTGACACACAGTGGAAGCTGGTCATGCCAGAAAGACCCACCATGTGATTAGAGAGCTGGGGCCTGTGTTAATATTAGACAAATATGAAGAGGTAAATGAGAGCCCACGCAGGAGGAAACACGCAGCCACCCAGAGGGATCAGCTGGAGGGACCACCTGTGTGGAAATTAGGTGGGGGTTTCTTTTGCTACACAAAGCTGCAGTTTAACATTCAACACCCAAAACAAAGAGATGACTGTTTGTCATTCACAGGGCCTAAAGGTAAACATACTTGAAGGCTAAACACAGATTCACAGGAGTCCTGAAGAAGGGGAGAATCACAGAGACCAAGAATAGACCTGGGCTCAGCCTTTAATAGGGTACAAGGGGAGGAGCACGCTTTGTTTCTTGAGAACATTCATATCTACGTATGTACATAAAAATGTATGTTGGAAACATGACTAAACAGAAACGTTCAAACATGACTAAACATTCAAACATGACTAAATAGAAACATTCCAAGAAAAATTGATTAATCATGAAGCTTGAAGGGAAAAATTAAAAACAATTCCCATTGAAATCACCATGTCTACAATGCAATAAAATGTAAGCATGCTGAGGATTTAATATATGTAAATTAGTGAATAAGGAGCCCTGGTGGTGCAATAAGGAGCCCTGCTAGCACAGGGTTAAACCCTCAGCTGCTAAAGGAAAGGTTGGTGGTTCGAACTCAAGACCTGGTGATCTGCTCCCATAAAGATTACAGCCTAGAAAACCCTATGGGGCAGTTCTACCCTGTCACATGGTATCACTACCAGTCAGAATCGACTTGTGGGAACCTAACAACAACAAATTAGTGAATACAAATTAAACTTTTATCAAAGACACTTGGATACACTGATGGAACATTCATCAAACATGATCCCATATTGAGTCATACAGAAAATATCAGCTAATTCCAAATTAAGATGGTTATCTTACTGTATTTAAAAATTCTCCTACTACTGGATATTGTGTTGTCTTCAATTAGAAATAAAGCTGTGAAACAATCTCAAAAATAAAGAGAGCGATGCTAGGGAGGCCACAGTGAAACGAAAATGAAAGTAAACAAAAATCAGATAATGGAAGCAAAACTAAACATTTCAAAAAACAAAACAGTTTCTATACTCAGAATCTGATTACAGGAAAAGTTTTTATAACCTGTGTGACAATTGGTAAACTGTCACCACGAAGAATCAAAGTACTCAAAACCAGAGGATGTGGTCAAAGCAGTGACCTTGAAATAAATACATCTTTACAAACATAATATTAAAAAATGAAGAAAGAAAATACCCATCACCGTACGTTGCCTGGACTCTTGACAACTCCATGTGTTACAGCACAGAACTGCTCCATAGGATTTTCTCGGCTATAATCTTTACAAAAGCACAGGCTTCTCTTCTCCAGTGCCACTGGGTGGATTTAAACCACCTTTTTCTAGGTTAGTAAAAAAAAAAAAAAAAAAAAAAAAACCGTTGCCCTCGAGGCGATTCTGATTGATAGCGACTCTACAGGACACAGCAGAACTGCCCCATAGGGTTTCCAAAGAGCGCCACGTGGACTCGAACTGCCGACATTTTGGTTAGCAGCCACACCTCTTAACCACTATAGGTTAGCACACCTGCGCACACCATTTGGGACACCCAGGGACCTTCAAAAGAAACGGGGGGGGGGCGGGGATAAATAAGCCTGTTGTTCAAATCTGTAAACCTAGAGAGGGAAAAAGGAAACCTAAATTTCATATTAAAAATTAAGTAAATAACAACAGAACTTTAAAGAAATGATAAGCTTCAGGAATGAAAGAAAAAAACAGATTATTTGACTAAAAATGACAGAATGAACTAAACTTTGACTCGCGTCCTGGGGCCGTGGGGCGCGGCCGGCGCCGCCCTGCGAGCCCAGGGGACGGGGCGGGGACGCAGACGACGAACCCCCGCGGGGCCTTTCGGGGCGCGAGGTGGGGAGGGGTCGGTGGGGGGCTCCGACAGGAAAGGGGGCGCGCGGGTCCCCGGGCCGGAGGCGGGAAGGCCGGACGGACCCGCTCGGAGCTGCTCTAACCGGAAACGGACGCGGATCCGGGACAACGGCGGGGCGGATGCGGGGACGTGAACGTCCGCAGGGACCCCCGGACCCCGAGCGGGGAGCACGCGGAGCTGAAGGGGACGGGAAGTGCGGCTTTGAACTAGAGAGACAACACCCACTCACCCTCCGGAGATGGTCGCTCAGATAGAGCATCTCCTCGCGGACAGCAAATGGCGCGGGCAGCCGGGCTGCGCAGGGGGCGGGGCGG